TATTATAATAAAATATTATTTTAGGTACAACATAACGAGCTGTTGTTATACCAAAAAAAATCTTGATAACAATTCACAATTCTTGCCAAGGAAATAAGTATAAACATAGAGTACGGAAACCGATACGTGCCGACACATAAGTGGTCACTTTGGAGCTTCAACACCATTTCCATTTTATTTGCTCGATAGTACATCAATTAGCAAGCCATTATCGATTCGAATATACTTATTTATTTATACTCTATTGAAAGGTACATAAGGCGGGGCTAATGCTATTATTATGCTTTCTTCGCGAACATTTAGAGCTACAGAGGTATTTAAATACATAATCAGTGAATTACGATGGTGCTAAATAGTACCTATATTGAATTTATTTACTTTAAATACTGATTATTTTAGACAAAATAAGGTAAGTATACATATATAAGACTATGAACTTATAAATGTTATATTATTATAATAATTAATTCCACTTACTATTATATGTTATGTACCATGGACGTGTGGAGTAAATATTTGTAACTATCAAATCAAATATAACTGTAAGTATATCTTTTCTGAAATAGGAAGCTTTCTGATTCTTTAATACTAAAATGTAAGAATAAGTATATATTATACGAAGACATCGCAATCTGCCGTCCTATGAATGGTCTTTACAAAAGTATTGTTGTCAAAATTTTACAATGACAGACATGATCCATCAATAAATTTTTTAAACAGTTTCTAAATGGCGCAATAAATCTTTAGGTCTGAAAATATAATGTCGAAATCGGAATAGATCTAAACAGCCACAAAATTGGCTTTCAGCGCATTATAAGGAAATACTGTAGCTTAATTACGACAAACTAACAAAGGGTTTGTAACAAATTCCATAAATGCACAACTTTATCTAATATTCACTATATATTATTATAATATTTAATTACATGAATTTTTATGTATGACCTTTATTTAATAACTTGTAAATACTTCGATTATACAAATATATAGGCTCTACCAAATTATCTGCATTCCCCGGTACAGGATATAGTATTAGACGTATACGTTACGATATTGATGGAATTTCGACTCCTTAATGTTTTTAATTTCTGTCATACAAGGAAAAATCTTTAATAAATTTAAAATAATACATTTATATAGAACATAATTCTGTTTGTAGTTCGATTACACCTATAATATTTTTCCATAGCTATACTTCGTGCAATATATATGTGTAAAAGACGTATAATATACTACAAACTAATATGCATATATTAGTTTATCGACCTTCTCTATGAAATTTTTTATGACCACCATCCATTCTCATTTATTATCATCCGGCGGACATACTATTTAAGTAGGCAAAAATTAGAATAGTTATTTTATTCCACAAAAATATTATTACTAATAAATATATTAACTAAACAGAGAGTTTAATGCAGTAGATTGTAAAAAGCGTCGACGCAATGTGATTGGAGAATTCCAATTTGTGTAACAAAGAACATAATCCAATTAAAAATCTGTATATTATATATACAATTACCATAATAAACGATATTGTCGACCGTAATATTAGAAATGTGAAAATGTATCTGCGTGTTTGCCGTTTCTTACTTTTTCACAATACACTTCAAAAATAATTTTAATGTAAAATAAGATAAAGATAAACTATATCACAAAATAGCAGACTAAGCGGCTAGTAATAGCTAGTATTTTATGTAAGATTCTGTTTTAACAAATCGGTATTCATTTGTTGGTTATAGCACAGATAACATAATATTACATAGTTATAGTAACATCACATTCAGTTGTTTAGTGCACTGTACTAATTATTATAATTATGAATACAAAAAGTCAAGTGTTAGATTGATTACTCTTGAAATCAATAACCTACTTATTACGTCGATTGCGAGAGAAGGTTCTAACTTGACTGCTCAGAATCTAGGATTCCTTCGAACTTACCGTTAATTTCCGGTTACCTCTCAACCGCTCTAAACCCAGCGACTCTAATTTAATGATTATTTCTATGTTATATATGTTCGACGCGACTCTCTATTAACAAGCGACGATAACCCGTTATCCTTTTTTATAAATTAAATAAAATTGTTGCCTTGTGCAAATAAAATTAATTCTTAACAGCTACAAAACCGCAAAACGATTATTAATTTACATTATATAATTTATATGCTCAAGTTTGCAAATGTTCAAAATAACATATCAATCAAATTTCGCACTACCAAATTAATCATTTTTAATTTTATGTATGTATTTAAAACATATTCCCTCAATTTAAAAATATATCGTTGAATAAAATTTATGTTCTGGTTAATTTATACCGTGTTCATGTAGAACTGTATAACAAACAAAAACAAAAAGGTTAATAAAAAAGTTGGAATGTTTTACTTGTAAATACTTTTTAAGGGTATTGCTATCCATCCTTCTATAATAATATTAGAAATTCGAAAGTGTATCTGTCTGTTTGTTACGTTTTATGACTAAACAACTGAAAGGATGTTATGGATATTTTATACATGATTTTATATGACTATATCATACGAGTATTAACATGAGGTACCTTTTATATAAAAAAGTGTGTTAAATTGGTAGTAAAAAGCAAAAAGCTGACATTATGTAACTAGAGAATAAACAGTTTACAAAAAAAATAAACAATATTTTCTGCATCTAAAGTTAAGAAATTCTTTCAAATAAGATAAGCACCTATCGAAGTGTAAGAATGAATTTTATAGTAAAACTAAAAAATCAGGAAATGAAACACTTTAAAGCTAACATATATTTAATCTGGTAAAATGTACTGTACCCATTTTTAGCAGAGTAAATAATTATTATTTACATAATGAAACGACTTTTTGAAGGAGTCTCAAATACTTTCAGGAAACGACAACGCGATGAACTGTTAAGATCCAGTTATGTTCTGCTTATACATTGACTTTCGCCTTGGTATACTTTTACGACTGAATTAGAAATGGATTATGAAACGATGTGGTTAAAGGGACTGCATTGATCTGAATCACTAAGTAGGCAAGGACTGAAGCGAAAGATGAAGAAAAGAACAGTATGTACCTGCATTCGTAGAATGGGCGAACGTGGATTCTTATTTATTACTAAATATTCACAAGAACACTCAACCATTATTTCTTTAGTGTCTGTAATATACTAAGAAATTATTCTTCAGGGGTTATAAATATGGAATAGTTAGTTTTTAAATGGAGCGGTTAAACGAGCTATTTTTTTTTCTGAAGCCCGATCGGGCCATCTCGGTAAATATCAGTCGCATCGTATCAATAAACCGTACACGCAGTCATGTTGCTGTTAATTTTTTTAAGTAAATATGCTAAAGGACAGGGTATAGAGAAAAGGCATTACTAAGACACTCAAAAGCTACAGAGATTTTAATTTGATTAAGTATCTAAAAATAATGTCGCTAACATCGATTATACCCGTCTGTATATGTAAAAAAGTGATAAAAATGATATGTTGTGCGAAAAAATAATTATGACGTCAATAGTCAGGAAGGTATAAAACCATGACCTTTGAATATTGAATGCGAGTTATTTATTTGGAATAGGTTAAATGGTAGGAGGTACCTACATTTCTGCAACATGTTCACGTAGGTTATATTAAAATATTTAATAACTATAAATGATAAGCTTGTAATATAATTTCTATTTTTATTAAAAGGTAAGTTACAAGTCGGTAATTATTTATTTAAATGTATTGTTTTATAAACTTAGGTTATGAAATGGTAGTCATAAGTCATATTATATATAGTTTTGTAGACCTAGAAAAAACACTGATAATAAAATAATGTTTATTTTTTTAATTTATTAAGATCATATTTATACTGACATATAAATAAAACATTGAGAACAGAATTGAGAACCACCTCCTTAAAGTAAGTTTTTATAGAAGTTTGAAAAATTTTGTGTTATAACTGAAATAACGTTATGTCTGTTAAATTAAAGATTTATTTTGTGTTTTATTTATATTCGTATAATTTAAATAGTCATAGTATATATGTATATTATTGCATGCAGGAAACATTTCCTGTATCGTGTATTCCGTGCGCCATTTGGATGACGTCATAGCCATAGAATGTGGTTAAATTCAAGGATGGATATTTTTCGTGGAATTTGGTAATAATTCACTTAATGCTCTATTTGTTTTTTTTTTAATAAAGAACACCGTCATGTCATTTCAGCCTCGATTATTTTATTCTACTCGCTATATTAGGTTTGAGCCGTCGTCAGTTTTGTGTTAAGGATAAGAAAAAAAGGATATTGTCCCAAATCCGGTATATTTTCAATTCGATAAATCTGAACATTGATGATATGACGTTCTTCTCAATATCGAATATAAGAATAATTCCATTCCACTATTCTATCTCAGTCTTTGGGTGGGTAATAAATATAGAAAAAAACCTTATGTTCTCCTTTGGAATATTACAAATATATAAGTTGTGACGTATACTGCATAATTGTATACATATATGTATAAGTATAGTTCATTGTTTTATAGTAACAATAGTCAACAAAAACAAATAAAATAATTTTTTATTGTCTATTAATTATGGGAAATGTTGCCAACGTAGAATAAAATATACATATGTACATATATTGTTATATAATAATCAACTTCAATGTTTAATAAAGCATTAAGTAATAATGGGCCCATTTATATAGATTGGAAGATGGATCAAAATCAGTACAAAATTGGCGAAGATATTAGCGAAAATTATACAAAATCATACCGTCGAAAGCTATTCTCATTTTTTACATCGTTTAAAAATCATCCAATTGTTATATTTTTGTTATTAGGAAAGTAGGTAGGTAATAGGTACCTAATAGCACACTCATTAGGATAACAAATTAAATACCTAATAAGGTTTAGAAAGTAATAGATTCATCAAGATCAAACACAATACAATGACAGACATTTGTCATGCAACTTCATGGGGCATCATTCATGTAACCTCAACGTCAGGAGCTACAGGTTGTACTTACCCTCAACAAGAAATCAGGCGTACAGATACACCTATTGAAGGAAATTTAATGTCAATTCTCTAAAGACACATCGACATGCTTTTCTACTTTTTAATGCTTACATATAACACTCGGCGGATTAAAGTGGCAAGTATTCCGAACGGATCATCCGCTCAGCCCGTACCGAACGAAGCTTTTGACTACCGTCGAGGAACTGGCCAGATTTACACCGCGAAACTTACCGGCCCTAAACTGCGCATGTGCTGATGGCCAAATAAAGTTAATAAAAGAATTATATACTATATTATATATAGTTATATGCAGATTATGGGAATTTTATGTGAGTTCATTATGTATACATTCACTATATTTTAGAAGACAGGAAATATCTAATTGAAATGAGTAAACATCAATAAAATAATTGTGGAAACGTTAATCAGTACATATTGGGAAAAATTGAATTGAATTACTTTATTATAATATGTAACTTGCGTACATATGATGAATTTACGTCTTTTTTTTATATTTATAATTCCCATCAATTGCCTCTAGAGCAAGAAAGAGACGCTTGTTCTAACTTTGACGTCGTCATTATTTTTCTTCAGATTAGATTAAGGTGAACCGTGAGACCCTCCAATATTAATAATAAAAGAGTCACATTAAAGTTTCCAAGATAAAGAAACAGTTTTTTTTTGTAGTATCAGCTATGATATTCATGTGTACTATGTCAAAATAACTGATTTATAGTAATTTTATTCACAGCACGAACACACTACAAAGTAACAAAGCTGCAATCTCCTGCAAAATGATGGTTCTAACCTATCTGCTTCAAGTATTAACAGGTATGTCATATATCTTGTAACACAATTGTGACAGTAGTCTCTACATATGTAAAATTGAAACATGCTGATACCTGTACATTATATGTATATATGTAGATATTGAAAAAAACGAATATATATCTTAATTAGAGAAACAACAACGATATCAACTGTTTTTAGAATATTTATTTGTTTATTTATTATAAAGTTTATCTGTCTGTCTACTGCATATTTTTATGTAAGCGGATAATATTGATGAATGATAAAGATGATGGCAAATAAATTGACGGCCAATTTGTTGGTTAAGTGGTAACATGAAGAGCACCACAGACATCACATTATCGTGTGACGCCTTAAAGCGTTACTATTCTGGAGAACTAAGATGGTATGCCTCTTATCCCTTAATTTCACTGCCTATCGTCACTCTTCACAACACATCTTACAAAGCAAGCTGCTTGGCGGCTGAAATAGGCGAGATTGAGGTACCCATGCAGATAATTTTTTACAAAGACCTCAATGAATTGGTATTTCTATATTTGTCTAACCTAAAATATAAACTCTAAACTAGGTCACTAATAGTGAAATGCTTGCGATCTATTTAAGGTTTCCCTTGATACACAATTAATTCACATTAGCTATCACTGAGGACTAAATATACTGAAACAGAGTAACAGCTTAAGCACTAGCTCAATGTGCTCGTTTTTACTTGAACAATTTACAGGATATGGATGCAATTTAAAATATTCATTACTATTTTATCAATCCCTATAAAAAATATTGCGGCATAAATTTAGCATAACATTATTGAATTGAAATGGCAAAGAACATAATTTGCCGTTTTTAAAAGAAAATGTTTTTATTTTTATTCTTATATGGAGCGGTTATATTCCGATTCCATGTTTACGCCTCCTGTAATTCACTGCATATCACACTGTTCAACAAGCACATCTTATAAAATAAGCTGTTCGATTATATATTCATATCTGGTCACAGATATATATCATTATAGCACTTTCAATATTTAATGTATATTTTATAAGACTACTCGATATATAAATGAAAATATCTATTTCTCAAAGCGTATACAATATTTATCGGTAGGATGCATAACAACAAATACCGGGTTTCCAATATACCTGAACACTACTACGACAGTTAATCTCTTAATATATAACAACATACTATATACGAGTTTCCTGCTTTGCGATGTATTTTGTGCTAGCCGTGGTACTATTTATGACAATATGGGATAGTTCCCAGCTACAGCTAACCTAACACATAAAATCCAACTGACTAAATTGTAAATTCTTGTACTGCTAAATAAAGCCCTCAGCACCGAGATGCTTATTAAACTCGGTAGGGTATACGAAATATGATGCCCGTATAACGAGAGAATTATCAGAGTCATGACCTCTTACGAGTATGAGATTATATAAAATTCTACATTCATTTAGATATCTACACAGGTACATAGTAAATCATCATATCAAAGAATATTTCTCACAAGTATATTTCTCAGCGAAAACTCCCGTTGCAAAGTTACGTATGTATTTCTCATTTAATTTAAAATATTTTGTAGCATGTATTTAAAACATGTTGGACAGGAACAGAAATAAAATATGCGTTTCGATGGAAACTTGCTGAGCTTCAGTTTTCAGGATCTACCGCATCGGTTTTCTAGAGTACAATGTTGCCATTCCATACAGTTAAACACAATGAGTTCTTTTTTATATTGCATTTCTTACTTCATCACGAATTAACGTTTATTTCCTGAGATACCGCCATAGTGAAGTTCAATCCAATGAGGTGACTCCCAGCTAGATAAAACATTGCTAGGTATGTGTTACTGGGATTCAATGGATGCACGTGACTCAAGGTAACAATTCCTTAGTACAAATAAGTGACGATAATCTATGTTTAGCAGTAAATAGGTGACGTCTAAAATCTTATCGAGATATATGTATCGTTTTTTATTGTGATTCTAAATCATAGCATGTTTCTTAAGCCTAACAAATGTAAGCGTTCGGTAATATTCGAGCCAACGAAACGAAATATTTGAATTAATGTCACGTTAAATCTTTATTTCTATGTAGTATAAATTTGCTGGTGGCTAGGATATTAGCAAAGTTAATGGCTTGGCAGTGGAAATGAAGTAGTTAAAAGTTACAACTTCTCTCGACATCCCACTTTGATCAATGTTTGCACCTACGTTAATTTGTTTTTAGAAGTTGTGATCGTACCCACATATGTTAGTCATGAGTTTAGTAATTTTGTTTTTTAGTTAATAATTTTATAAGAGAGAATCATTACTGTCAGCAAATTTTGTCTAAAATGGTATTTCTATATAAACTAAAAAATTGAAATTCGTAAGGACATAATATTATTATGACATATAAATATACCCTTGTATAACTATATCAACAGACCAAGAATTGTTCTTTGCTTGTAAAAGTATAAGGTTATATTATAGGTTCTTAGAAATTTCATATCATTTCATATCAGAAAACATATAGTAAAGTCGATTTTATTTTTTATTTATATTTTACGTATTTATTACACATATTCTTTTCAAACAAATTAATATAAGTAGACTTTACTGTCAATGTGTATATATATATATATACATATTGTTACAATTGATTTATTTGAATTCAGTAAAGAATTGTTTCGCAAATACAGTCTAATATTTTAGATACAGTTATTTTAACTCTATCTAAAATATCTAAAATACTCTACCAACACCGCAATACCAAACAAATTTGAAAATATAAACGAAGAACAAGTATAACAAAGAAACCCCTCGCTATATTCAACAGAACACTTCAATTGGCTTAAACAGATCTCAACAAAGAACGGATTCGTCTATTATGTTCTCATTTGTATATTATGTATGTTGCTTCATGTCTCTTATACTATGCGTCCGATTCTAAGCAATAGAAGGGATTAGAAACTATATATATTTATATACGAGTATAATATGCCGAAAAAAAAATTTTATTTATAGCAAGAATGTTTTAATTATATTGTATACAGGTATTATTACCATGTTAATAAGTATGTAAATTAATGTAAAATTACGCATCAATTTACTTAAAAGCGTGCCCTTTTCAGCGTGAGGTAATGGTCTCTATTATATTATAATTTAATAATGTATCGGAATCTAGTGCAATCAACAAGAGTGCGGAAGCACTTTAATTATATTTAATATAATAACCAAAACTAGTCTACATTATTTTATTAGACATCTGCACTAATTTACGCAATTAATATTGTTTAATTAATTGAAATGAAACTCATTGATGGGACACTTGATATTTTAATCGTCCCATGAAATTGCAAAAGCCTGTTATGGCCAACAGCATTAGAGAGTACGAAAGAAATCAAACCTGACTTTTTAAAACTACGATATAGAGTATATTGATTAGTGGATTTTTTTTCTTCGGACTACTCTAATACTATTGACCGCAGCTGGTCTTTACAGCTTCAATGGGGGGCGAGTGCACATGGCCCTCGAAACCCACGGCTGAACGACACAACACCATCCTGACGCATACAATTTTAGTCAGAGGACACCCTCGTATTTCGATCCACGTTTGAATTAGACAAGGGATCGACCTAAGGGGGTGATTAAAAGATAACTAGCCGTATCATCGTAAGTAACAAGTAAGTAAACAGACAAATAAATATATTTTATTATTTATTTATAGTAACAGATAACTAGAAGTAGTGATAATTTATTCTGCGCAATATATTCTTTATAACTTTATGATTCTTCGGTTCCTAATCAAGCCTCTAACAAAGTCCACTCACAGACTTCTTAATGAATAAGACCGACCCCTAACTAGATATATTCAATTATGAACATTTAGCTGAAAATTGTAACGAATGAATGAGTAATTAGTGCTCTCATAAATTATTATCACGTTTCTATTAAATTAAAATACCATGTAAAATTAATCAACGAAATTTCATAACGAAATTAATTTTGTTTTATGAAGTGCGGAACGCTCAGTCTTCTTACAAATCTTGTTTTTCAAAGTGGCTTGTTTCAAATCATATTTCGATATTTGTTATTAATCATTGAATATAATTTTCTCACACATACGTACAGTCTATTACTGAATGCGGATTTCCTGCATAGTATGCACCAAACTACTATTTGTAGCCACTTAGATTTTCTCTAAAGTTTAGAGGTCATCAGTCCATCTAAAAATGTTCTATATTACGTCTGCTTATACAAAACATACTCCATAACATTTTGTAGTGGACCATATCGCCATTGCAGTTTGCTGAATATGACCAAATCATACCTCAATGTTTATACTAATTAAGAAATTCTCTCAATGTTTTAT